CAATTATAAGATCACGACAATTAACATATGAAATTTAACATTATTTACCAAATTGCATGCAACTTCGCAGCTAGGTAGGATCCAAATGAGAAACAAAATCACACGAATAAAAAGTATGGAATATGCACCACATTAGCAAGACTTAGCCATTACTATGTAGACACTCAACCACAATATTAAAGACCCAACGTTTTCTAAAAAAAGAGCTCATCATTAAGTTTAAACACAACCAATTACTTAATACTTGATGTACTTTTCTCATAGGGCTCATGTCGTAGTTTGCACATTAAAACATTAAATACAAAATGTTTGTATGCGAATTATAGATAAGCAATTCAATCATTTTGAATGTCTTTTATAAGAGAAATGCTTTTTTTGCTTACTTGTGTATTTTTCATTATAGGCAAAGTCATTGCAATGCTTTATTAAAAGTGCAAAGTAATTTACGACCCTCCCGATATAAAATAGAGTACTTTACACCACATGAATAGAAATATATTATCATTGTCATTAAACCTAACAAAGTAATTATGCAAACATATTACATTCTTAAGTTTCATATGTAAAACAATTACTTTACATCCTACAAACGTCATCATAATGGAAAAAGAACAAATTATGTTAATAATACAATAGTACGTCAAACAACTATAGTATCTTGTTGAAAGTTAAATTGGAGATTTATTCAAATGCGATCAAACCATAACATTTTTCAAAAACAGGACTTACTAGCTAGTTTAAAATGCCATAAATATGACTTTTTTTTGTGATTGGACAAAAAGACCCTCTTAAACTTGAAGGATTGCTACCCCCACGACCTGACCTCCGCCTGTCGCTGGCCACCACTGGTCACACAATTTCCGCCCAGGTCGCGATTGCAGATGAGGCAAAATCTACCATCTATTGACGTTGTCACTGTACTTTGCCGCCGTCGAGCTACCGCCACCATCCGACTAACCCAACACAAACAGACTGACATTGGTTATGCAAGTGAACTATGGCTTCAATTAATTAGGGTAATTAGGTTTTTATTAATTTAGAGGTATAAATGTAATGATTAGTCGTATTTAGAGGAAATCAAACATATGGTCCTGTTACTTTAAGATGGTCCCATCTTTACTTTTGGGTCACCCACTAGGATAGTCTCATTACAAATTTGATAAAATTTTATAATTATAAATCATTCTTATTCTATTCTTATTATATCAATTCAACACTAATTACATAAAATCATTTTCTTACACTCCAATATAATGTTAGTGAGAGGGAGATAATATGTTTTAGTATTAGTTTAAGCAATTTCCTCGAGTTAAATATGTCAAAAATAGAAGAAACAAATAACCATTTTTTGTGGTTTTAATATGACCTTAAGGATATTTTTACTTGGAGTGTAATTCGTTGGTCTGATCTGGTTTGGTCGGGTTTGTTTAAGTCAATTCTGATCTGAATTAGTCTGATTTGGTTCGATAAATGTCTGGTCTCTGTGTATTTTATTATAATTATAATTACAGAAGTATGAAATAATCTGGTCTGATCTATTTAAGTTTGATTTGGTATGATCTGGAACTAAAACTGGTCCAAATAAAAACATACTCATTCCTAAATCCATTTTAATTTGTATAGGGCTTGGACGGCTGTTTGTGCCGTAACTTATTTTGCCGCTACCACAGTACGAGGAAGCATCAATTTAATCCTGGGGCGGTTCAGCAACTGTACACACATGCAAATTCTGCATTTCACTATGAGTGATGACCCACGAGTTCACGTGTTTATGTGTCTGTTCCAAATTTTGCATGGAATTGGTGGCATCGATATATTGGTACGTTTTAAAGAAGCACAGAAAATCTACACCTATTACTACTCCCGATCTGGCCTAGCTAATCCTGCCAGAGGCACTAACCCCAAATCATTCCGCAATTACTAAATCAATTATTAACCATTAATTAGCAAGTTAGAGTAGACACTAGACAGTAGTGGCCAAGACAGGAGCCACTGTTTTAAATTTCTTAATAAGAGTTATAATTTGTGATTGGACTGCCGCTGCCGATCACTAGCCTGGACCGCCGCCACCATGCCGCCACCGGACCACCACCACGAGATTGCCTAAAAAGGTACTCCATATTCCGCAATACTTACCGATGTATTGTAGCAATATATATCATTTCATTGTAACATTATTGGTACAATAATATATAGATATTTCGTAACAATTTTTACGATGCTACAAAATGAATGGTACAATAGTCACTTTTTGTACTAGTGATCCTATTCACGAGCTTAAGTTTAGACTCAGAGTAATACTACCTCCGTCCTACTAACATTGGGACAAGAAGAAGTGACACGATTATTAAAAAAGATGATTTATGTGATTAATATTGAATTGATAAAGTAAGAATAAAGTAAAAATGATTTAGATCTACACTAGCTTTACCAAATTTGGAATGAAACAATCTTAGTGGAATTTCCAGAAAATGTAAAATGAGACAATCTTAGCAAAGAAGGAGGGAGTAAATTTTAACATTTCCACTTAAACGCCTTTAACATTTCTTAACATGCCTATATATGTATCTGCTGTCACCAATGAGAAGTGCAAATTTGAGCCAGACTATATTCAGGTGGGGTAAATGAGAAAAATGACGAGTTTTAGATTTTGTTAAAATTAGATTCCATAGATTTCATCCGGACATAACTTTAACATAGATTCGTCAATTTCGAAATAACAGAGCTAAATAATGCACATTTCCCCCACATTAAATCGTGATAAATTAAATATTCATACTCCGTATATTGGATGATAGAAAGCTACTTAATTTTTCCATCATTGAAAAGAATCACGCAAGACGACATTCATGTAAGAGGAAAATGTAATTAAAACTGATCTTATTCTCTTGTCAATGATCGAAATGTTCTATATTGATAGAAAAAGAAGAACGAATATTGTCTTTCTTGTCGACTAAAATTTCGTCCATTTTGGTCCTCATGCTTTGACAGCATGCACGGAAATAACGAATTGACAACATGCCCTAGAGATCAACAAGAAGCCCAATATGTTGAGATCTTACCACAATTTTCAGACAGGTTAATTAAATATTCATTTTTTGACAGATCAGAAGAATCGGCAGGGAATAATTAGTTACTAATTAAATAATTAAGTCTTCGTTTTGTACAGCTCAGATTAGAAGCATTGATGCATTTGAAAAAAAAGATACACCACATCCTAAAGGACCCCAATGGAAAAAATAGATACACCACATCCTTAATGGGAATATATAAATTAGACTTTAATCACAAGTTCACAGACAACGAATGAGACTCTATTATGTATACTTGCACATGCTCTAATGCCCTATTCATTTTTAAATAGTAACATATCATTGTTGACGGAATTTGAACTCGAGCACCTTTTCTATCCGTTCAGTTACACCCATCGGTAGCATCGATGCATTTGAGGGTTTGATAAAAACTACATACAGAGATAATTCAGAAGCATCAATGCATTAAAAAAAAGATACTCCTTCCGTATCAAATTACTTGACCTACTTTCCTTTTTTGGAGTATCAAATTAATTGACCTCTTTCCCTTTTTGGAAAGAATCTCACTCAAAAAGCAGCTACAGTATTGCTACAGTACCAAAAACCTCTTACTTTTAATAAAGTCTACAGTAATTGTTTTAAACTGCGTGAAAAGAAAATGAGTCAATTAAATTGATACGGAGGGAGTACACCCTATCTCTAAAGGCCCCAGTAGCGTCCATATAATTTATTAAGAGGATGTAAAATTAAATTTCAATCACAAACTAGCAGATAACAAGTGAGCTCGGTACAAATACTTACATGAGCCGAAATGATCTATGTATGTTTACATACAGGGGCGTAGCCAGGAGAAAGAAATGAGCTGGACTAGTATTAAGAATTGTTACAGATAAATTTTTACACATAAATTTTTACATTAAAAATATAGGAATTTTAAAATTTGGGCCGGTCTGTGGCCCGGCTGGCCATCCCTCCACCTCCGCCCCTGTTTACATAATAGCATCTGATCGCAGTAGACGAGATTTGAACTCCAAACTTAACGCTTGTGACGCCTTTTTTTTCCGTTGAGCTACGTCCACGGACAACCTGATAAAAACTACGTACGGAGACAAAAGTATGAACTACTTTGACAAAATTATGTTTTTACAGCTATTACGTTGCTGTGCGGTAACATGAGATTACGAGAATGTTCAGATATGGAAATCCGAAGATGATTTCAAAGACCATAAGTCAATGGGAACGCACGCTCTAAATCCAGATTAACGTACTGTCAAACCTCGGGTTTGACAATAAAAACCGCATGGTCAGGTCAAACAAATCACAGTTCAAGCAATGTAACAGAAAATTAAATACGATTTGGTTGCAGGTAATTAGTAATAATAATAATTAATTAATGAGATTCAGGCAATCTTTACGCAGGAGGCAGAGACTAGAAACAGGATTTATGTGGTTTTCCACAAGGGAAGGGGCAATAATTTAACAATATGATCTGATGTCATGCACGTATGTTGTTCAAAGAACTAGGGGTCGAGTATATGTGTTGTCCGAAACAGATGAAACTGTCAACTCGCCGTCCGGCCGTCGTTGTCGACCTCCGACATCAACACCGGAAAGCTGGCGCCTATTACGGCCGGTTGACGGACCAAACCATGGTCCAAGTCCTCAACGCGAACCCCGGTTGAAGCAGCCACCTGGGCCCCACGCGAACCCTACAACAGAGACATGGGGACGTGGGTGGGCCCACCCCCTGTCCCTCCCCCTCCTCCAAACATGATATTACAAAATTGTCCACGGCTAGTAAGGGACGACGAACTCTATCGTCTATATCCCCCGTCGATTTCCTCCCAACCTTCCAACCTTCCTTTTTGTCTGTCCTGTACGCCCGTGGGGCCCGCGCTGATATGGCTGTTGACGTGGCGGATACTCCCTTCTCCCCCCTATTTAAACCACTCTATCCTTTGCCTCTCACTGCATTCCTCATCAGCTACCTCTTCTTCCCTTCAATTCTTCAAATTCTTCAAATTCCAAATACAATTTCAATTATAATCCTTCTTCTTCTTCAGATCAATTCTGAACCATTCGAATCAAAACAAAATCAATTCCTATTCCTGAACCGCAAAAAATGGCCGTAGATTCCGTTCTGGCGTCTCCGTTAGGCCCTCCGGCTTGCGAGAAAGACGCAAAAGCCCTCCAGTTCATCGAAGAGATGACCCGAAACGCCGACGCAGTTCAGAAGAGAGTTTTGGAGGAGATTCTTAGCCGGAATTCGAAAACAGAGTATCTCCAGCGCTACGGACTTAACGGCGCCACCGACCGGGAAACATTCAAGTCCAAACTTCCGGTGGTCACCTACGAGGACCTTCAGCCGGATATCCAGCGTATCGCTAACGGCGACCGGTCCCCCATCCTTTCCGCTCAGCCCATCTCCGAGTTCCTCACCAGGTTAGCAATATACTCCGTATTAATTACTCTGTTTTTTTAAAGATTAAAGGCATTATTTTATACGAGTATAAAATTGTGGGATGTAATTGTAATATTATAAAATGAAGATTTTTACAATATATTACGTACAATATAAGTTATTCGGTTACAATAACGACAATAATAGTTACGAGTATAATAACTTAAAAAATTAATTAAAAGTTTGATGGTTTATATTAACCGTCTGTTTTGGTCTAATCAAACAGCTCAGGAACGTCAGCTGGTGAAAGAAAATTGATGCCTACAATTAAAGAAGAGCTGGATCGCCGTCAACTTCTCTACAGTCTTCTCATGCCCGTTATGAACCTGTAAGTATATTTCCCAATATATTCTAAGAAAAAATCAATTCTGAAATTAAAAACAACTTTATAAGTACTTTATATCCTTGTCTTCTGACTTTTTTTTATTATGAATGTAACAGTTATGTGCCTGGTTTGGACAAAGGAAAAGGCTTATACTTTATGTTCGTCAAGTCAGAGACCAAGACTCCGGGCGGGCTTTTGGCCCGGCCCGTTCTTACAAGCTACTACAAAAGTGAGCACTTCAAGACCCGTCCTTACGACCCGTACAATGTCTACACCAGCCCGAATGAGGCGATTCTCTGCCCGGACTCATTCCAGAGCATGTACAGCCAGATGCTCTGCGGGCTGTACGAGCGCGAGAAAGTGCTTCGCCTCGGCGCGGTTTTCGCTTCGGGCCTTCTTCGGGCCATCCGGTTCCTCCAGCTGCACTCTCAAGAGCTTGCTCATGATATCCGAACGGGGACCTTGAGCCCGCTCATAACCGACCCGTCAATCTGCTCATGCATGACCCGGATCATGAGGCCCGACCCGGAGCTTGCTGACTTTGTTACCCGTGAATGTTCAAAGGATAACTGGGAGGGGATCATCACCAGACTCTGGCCCGGGACAAAGTATCTGGACGTGATCGTCACTGGAGCCATGGCTCAGTATATCCCGACGCTCGAATATTACAGCGGCGGGTTACCAATGGCGTGCACCATGTACGCGTCTTCGGAGTGCTATTTCGGGCTGAATCTGAATCCGATGTGCAAACCATCAGAAGTGTCATACACGATCATGCCCAACATGGGCTATTTCGAGTTCCTGCCACACAACCCGAGTTCCGACGGGTTGACCCGGGACTCCGAACTCGTTGACCTCAGTGACGTGGAAGTCGGAAAAGAATATGAATTGGTCATCACAACATACGCCGGCCTATGCCGGTACCGAGTCGGCGACATCCTCCGAGTCACCGGGTTCCATAACTCGGCACCGCAATTCCACTTCGTGCGGCGAAAGAACGTCCTTCTAAGCATTGACTCCGACAAGACCGACGAGGCGGAATTGCAGGGCGCGGTGGAGAACGCCTCAAAGCTGCTGAGCGAGTTCAGCACGAGCGTCGTCGAGTACACGAGCTACGCCGACACGAAGACAATCCCGGGGCATTACGTCATTTACTGGGAGCTGATGATGAAGGACCCGTCCAACTCGCCGACGAGCGACGTGTTGGACAAGTGCTGTTTGGCGATGGAGGAATCGCTCAACTCGGTTTACCGACAGGGCCGAGTCGAGTGCAACTCAATTGGGCCGTTGGAAATCCGAGTGGTGAAAAGCGGCACCTTCGAAGAGCTGATGGACTACGCGATATCCAGAGGCGCGTCGATCAACCAATACAAAGTGCCCCGGTGCGTGAGCTTCGCACCCATCATGGAACTCCTCGACTCGCGAGTGATCTCCACGCACTTCAGCCCGTCTCTGCCGAGTTGGATTCCGGAACGAAAATCTTAACGCATTGGTTGACCAGATCCGGTCAACGCCGATTTAGTTTTTTTTTCTCTCTTTGGCTCTGTATTCTACCTTTGTGATTAGATGATCTCAGTGTAACTAGCTGATAATTAGGAATTAAGTTTGAAGAATTAATTAGGTTTCACAAAGAATGCTTTTGCATGTGAAAAGGATGTAATATCATATCAAGCTATATATGCCTGTTCAAGTAACTAATCAATTAATTAATGTGGCATCATATATATAATATGTTGACTATAAGAAATTACCGAGTATCTATATAATTCAATTATTTCTACATTTTTTATTTATTATGAGCATTATATCATTTGGTCACACTATTTAGCTAATTCTGCACTGATCAATTAGATTTGTTCGTATATAATATGTGATGTTTTGTAAGTAATAGTTAATGACCTATATGTTCTTATGTCGGAAATTGAAGTCTAAGTGTATGGTTCCTGCTTGAAAATGTATAGTAAATTGTGTAGTAAAAGAGAAATAACGAATTACAATTACTTTATGAAAAAGGAAATATGTGATTAATTTGTATCTAGTGATGCTTCATATTTTGTGATTTATTAAAGAAAACGTGTCTTTTAAAGATTACCATTTTTCTTCTTATCACTATACATTTGTATTAATTAGTATTCCGTATATCATTATAGAATAAAGGAATTGAAATAATGACATTTGTATTGAGATGAAAGGAATGATATACTATAAAGCCTACTTCTACCAATTTGATAAGATTATTCAATTTCAATTCTATTGCGGTTAATTATAACACTTTTGATACCGTTTTTTACTTTTTCCAACTATTGGTAGTTTTTTTTTTGAAAACCACTATTGGTAGTTTTTTGGCGTGCTGCATCAATGACACTTTTTGCATATCTTATGGTATATGTCCAATTTCATTCCTTCTGTTATTTGTAACTACCTCCGACCCAAAAAGTGTTTGGGTATTAAACTTCCCCATTTGAATTGACACGCTTATTAAGACAGTGAGAAATTGGAAATGTATGATTGTGATTGAGTAAGAATAATGTAAATGAATGTAAGTCACACAAGACTTTCCAAGAAGAGAAATGAAAAATATTTTTTTGAACAACCCAAAAAAGAAAGTGAGAAGTATTTTTTTGGAACGGGAGTATATCAATGATGCCTGTGTTATTAAAATTCTGGTTAAGTATTACTGAGTACATTTTTTTTCCAAACCCTTATGATGGTGGTGTGGCCAGAACTGTATACCCGACTATCTAGTACTTTCTCCGTCCCATTTTACCTGTCCTACTTTCCTTTTCAGATTGACCCAAAATAAGTGTCTCCTTTCCTTTTTTGGAAAGAAATATGTTGTCTACAACATTTCACTTTATTATACTCAAACCTCAACCACAACTTTTATTTTTTCAACCATTTCATTAATAATTGTGCCAAATCAAACTAAGACATATAAAATCTGACGGAGGTAGTAGTAATTTTTAATAAAATTGAAATTTCGATTGAGATGGATCGGAGTCTAGGGTCACCCCTAGTTACGCGCGCTCCTCTTTGTATCAAAATTTGGGTATAACAACGATAAAAATTCAAGAGTGACATCAAAATGTTCTTATAAGTTTATAACAAATGTGAGATGATTAAATTCTTTGTTTAAAATTCTTTTACTCCGTAATATTTTTTGGATCCCGTGATTCAAAGTTTTGTTGGATTTGTCCTAAAAAATCTGACACATATATCAAATAATCACAGCAAATTTATTTTGACTTGCTTATTATTAATCTCAAATGAGTTTCATCAATCATTTTTCTTTAGAAGATTGAACATAGTAATATAGGTTATCTATCTATTTCAATCAAATAATACTCGTGACAATTCAACCGTTACATTAATTATATACATACGGTTCCCAAATCCCAAATATTTCCCAACAAAATACTCAGGGAGCATGCTTTAATTAATTTAGTGATCTGAACCTACCATAAATATGGCTTCCTTTACTAAAGAACCTGAATCAATCCATTAATTAATTTAGCCTGGAACGATCACAGAATACATATGAAATTAATCGTGCGATGTTGGGAAAAATGTAATAATGATGAGTTGATGAATAATATTCCATGTGTTGATCGAAAGTACATGCACTTTAGCGTTATAAGTCCTGGTCGAAAATAAAGTTCGTAAATGCAGTCCAGAGAGGCGAAAAGGCCTCAAATATATGGAAATAAACCTTTGCTCCACACCAACCCATGCATCAATGTGAGGATGTTGCAATTCTATGTTTCGGCAGAGAAAATACGATTTGTCTAAACATATTGGCCTATTAAGTGATGTGATAGATAGAATTAAAGCTGGCCTGGAATCTGGATATAGATAATTATACGGTTTGCTTGTCTGGTTCGACCCAGGCCTGGTCTCGGACTTATTAAACCGAACTGACTCAATTAGATTTATGTATCTCGATCAACATCGAACGAACTTAGAGATGATGATGATGAACAGAAACAATGTTAACATCAACCCATTTATTGTGTAACTTCACCCAGGGTCCCTTAATTTTAAGCTAGGCCCTCTATGATTCGATTGTTTTGTTTTTATCTTTTATGATTTAGCTTTAACCCGTTTGGTAACAATGAAATTGGTTGAATATATATGTGGTACGTAATTGGTGACATCAGCCTAATATAGCAAGTTTTAACATTTTCTAAGTTTTCTTTTTTCACTTTTCTTGTTTTCCTCCTCCCATTTTTATAAAATGAGACTTTTGTGGTTCGATTTGAATAATAACTTAGGGACTAAAAGTGTAACTCTCCAAATATAAAAGAATATTTAATAACAACCGCTTTTATTTTTCAAAGATCGAGAAAAAAGAAACAAAGGAGAAAAGTAAAATAAAAAAAATGACGAGATAGGTACGGCTGCAACAAGAGAAAAAGAGAAAATAAGAAAACAGAAAAAGGAAACCTAAACTGTAAAAAGCATGGTATAACAGGTCGATATCCGGTCAGAGGGGCTATTAATCGACTTAGATGATGGTTCCACAATAATAGGACTTATTTGACATTTTTTTCCTATTTATTTTGATTCACTATTTAGTGTACGAAATAGAAGTTTAGGACTCGTTTACTTATTTCTCCAATTTTCTATTTTTGTTTTCTGTTTTCATTTTCCAAACCTGGACACATGTTTTATAAATTTCATTTGTTTTCCATTTCATTTTTCAAAATTATAAAGTAACCTTCATTAACCCAGTATTAAATTTCTCCCCAATGCAACCCTTGCGCTAGGGTTTTTTCCCGCATCCTTCTGTGCAACAAGAAGAATGATCAGACCAACTCCTCCCTCCTGATATACTGATTTTATTTAACAAAGTAGCTGATTGGTGACCAAATATAACATCTTTTCTATCTGCATTCACCAACTCCTTCGTGATGCAAATGACAAAGTGGTAACACCATCTCTCTAAGAGCCCGTTTGGAGACCTCTGTTTTCGGCTTATCAGGCTTATGAGCCAGCTTTTTCACCAAACACGTAACTTTTACTTTCGCGCGCTGAATTGTGTAATAAGCAGAAAAAGTAAGGTTGGAGTTACTTTTCTGGCTGTATTGGCTGAAGTTACTGTAGATGACCATTTTAGCTATTTTTACATATAATTTTTTCGTTATTTTATTAATAAAATATATTTTTAAAATATTTTTTTCTTAAATCAGCAGAATCAGCCAAAACAGCCACTTCAGCCAAAATATCATAAATTTCAGCAGAATCAGCCAAAACAGCCAATTTTGGTGCTACCAAACGGGCTCTAAGATTCTTTATAGGGGGTGTGACTCAACCGGATTGTGATTCTTTTCTACTTGTGTTTGTTTTGTTTTGTGGCGGTTCTTCCCAGGTACTCACGCTCCAGGGTGTTTTGTGTCTCTCGGTGTGGGGAGCTATATTGGTGTCCTGGCCATCTTTGTCTAGTCTGAGGTTTCTGTCAGCCTTCCTATGTGGTGCATAGACATTGATAGAGCTAGTTCTCCTCCCCAACCACCTTCGTGCCAGAAGAATTTTGTGGAAAAACTTTTTTTCAATTTTATTTTTCCTTTAGAAGTAATTGTTTTTATTTTTGGTTGAGTAGGTTTGATTTGGATATTTGGATGTTTGGAGTATGTTTAATAGACAATGTTTCGGTTCTCATTGTTTTAAACTTAAAATTGTCTGTTTTGTGTCTAGAGAATCAGTTTGTTTTGAATGGGGTAATTGATTCTATATGTCCATTTCCAGGGCTGACGATCGGATCTGTCATAACTGTCTGGATATTATCTTTTATGTTTTCTCAATTTCAATATAAAAAGCTGCGATTTTTTTTTCTTAAAAAAATTATAAAGTAAGTATATACATTGAGGAATTGAAACTTGATAGAACCGAAGGCGTAAAAAACAACAAATATTACTTGATACCGTTATAAAAATATGTACTCGTAATTAGGAACATCTGAAATAAAATAATTGATCAGGACCTAATAAGTGACAATTTTTAATAAGAAGTTACATTGCATTGAAAAATAAATACACAATACTAATAATACTTTGATGTAAAAATTATTGATCAGGGTTAGCATTAAAAAACATAAGTTTAGAGCCATGTGTTTTTTCATCACATGTTTCAGTACATAACAGTACTTCTAATACTTTTGTAAGCCACATGTTTTTTCATTATCTATGGATCGGAGTTAGTATATATTAACAACTTAAGTGTTTTGGAGAAAAATTATGATACCTAAAACTATGTAATAAAACTATAAAAACGTAAAAATTGATTTTCATAAATTAATATAAAAAAATTCAACATATAATTATACACTGTTGCAAAGATCACGAAAAAAATTTGTAGATTTAAAAAAAGCGCAAAACAAATACAAGTCGCAATGTAGCACTGCATGTTTCCATTTTGGAAAACACCAAAACGTGAGTTTTCCAACTCAAGAAGAAAACACTAAAAAGATAAACATGTTTCCTAATTTTTTCCAGTTTTCTCCAACTCAGAAGAAAACTTCTTTTCCAGTTTTTTGGAAAAATAAAAACATACTCCTATTAGTAAACGGGCACTTAGTGCCTTGTAAAAAAAGTTTGGACTAAGGATGTTCTCTTTTGGACTGAAATTGATGGTCTAGTCTGGTTAGGTCTATTTAAGTTTGTTCTTGTCTGAATTGATCTTGTCCGGTAACTGTATGATCTCTATGTATTTATAATTGTACAAGTTTGGTCTGGTCTAGTCTGTTTAAGTCCGGTATGGTCTGCTTTGTTTAAGTCTGGTATGGTCTGGTTTAG